CGGGGACACCTAGGAGGGGGCCTCCGAAGCAGGGGCCTAAACGATGACAGACTGGAAGGTGGAGGTCTCTCAGGATCCAGAAGCAAGGCTTGGGCTGGGGGCGGTGCTCTGGGTAGGGTGGCCAGTAGAGCCGTGGGTTGTGGTCTTCGACCACCTGTACTACATATACCAAGGTGCTCAACTACCAGTGTCAGAACTTCAAGCTAGAGAAGAGCTTGGAGCTGACTGAAAGGCGGGGTCTGGGGCTCGGCCCTGGATAGGGGGGCGGGAGGGGGGTGGCGCACTGAATGGATTGAGGTGGGAACATAGACAAAGGGAGGATGGCTGGCCTCAACAGCCTGAAGGACTTACCCCAGGTGCGCCTGGGTGAGGTGGGAGTGGGATCTCATGGGGACAGAGGCAACCGTGAAGGTCCAGGAGATAGAAGAGGGTTCCTGTGGCCACACACTTGGCTCCCGTACAAGTGCCCTTGACCCTCCCTTCCCTAGGGAGAGGCCCTGGAGCAGGCCATCATCAGTCAGGCCCCCCAGGTGGAAAAGCTCATCGCCACCACAGCTCACGAGCGGATGCCCTGGTACCACAGCAACCTGACACGTGAGGAGGCCGAGCGCAAACTGTATTCAGGCTCGCAGACCGACGGCAAGTTCCTGTACGTGGGGCTTGGGCTTGCGGGCAGTGAGGCGGCGGTGGTGTCATTGTGCTGGTGGAGGGTGAGCAGTGTGCCTGTGCTCCACGTGCAAGTGGATATGCATTTCTGAGTGTGCGAAGGGCTGTTCTATGGGAAAGGAGCAGCAGTGGTTAGGACTGCAGAGCTGGACTGCCTGCCTGGGTTGGAATCCAGTGTCTGGTACTTACCAGCTGGGGACATTTGGCAAGTAACTGAACTTCCGTCTGCCTCCATTTACTCACCTTCATTCAACACATATTTACTGTATAGCCACCATGTGCCAGGCACTGTTGCAGGCACTGAGGACATGGCCGTGAACAAAACAGACACAGATCCCTGTCCTTATGGAGCAGGTAGACAAAAAAGGTGAATAAATAAAATACAGAGTCTGTCAGGTGGTGGTAAGTGTGTATAGGTGGGGAGGGGGGTGAGATTAGGTAGCCAGAAAAGGCCTCTCCGATCAGGTGACTTTTGAGTAAAGAACCGAAGGAGGTGAGAAGTGAGCTGTGCAGCCCTCTGGGATAAGGGAGGTGAGTACAAAGCCCAGGAGACAGGTTGTTGGCACTTTCGAGAAATAGTGAGGAGGCCAGTGTGCTTGGAGCTGAGTGAGTGAGGTCTGGAGCTGGAGGAGGTGAGGGAGGGAGGCAGTGACTCCTTCTAACTGCCCTGTGGAGCATGGCAGTACCTCCCCAAGGGTCTGCTACAAGGATTGCATGACTTACTATGTGGAAAGCAACAAGCAGTGTCTGGCATGTACTAAAAGTGCAGTAAATGTTAGCTGTTGGTATATGTGGTTGGGCATGTGTACTCGTATGTGCCCGTGTCTGGGCCACAGCTGAGCCAGGTGGCTGTTTGTGATTTGGTTATTGTGAAGGAATCTCTGAAGATATTTACATAACCTTGCTCAGTATTGGAAGTCTTGCTGGCTGCTGCTTTCTGGTCTGGACACAGGTCCCTTTGTATAATGGATGTTATCCAGATGTGAGCTGACATAGCTCAGGCCTCGAGATACAGAGAAACTCGGTGCCTGCCTCTTTCCTGTGACCTCAGGAAGTCCAGTGCCCTCCCCAAGGTGTCTGAATTCTCAGGGCCTCCATCCCCATGGCCTGTGTTCCTGCATGGCCGAACCCTGCTCCCACCCCTCTCCAAGGGCTGTTCTTTCTCCCGGGGCATCCCCGCGGACCCCTTCCTCCATTTCCCCACCCATGTGCAGTCTTTGTGCGCACCAGATTGCCTGCTGGTATCCCACAGGATGCAGGTTCTGCCACAGGACTGTGCTATCAGCTGATAAATTAAATTTTTTACCCTGCCTAACCACTTCGGCTAATCCCACAGGAGAGGAATTAAGGCAGCCAGTTTTGCAAGTAGTCCATTACAGGATTGTAACAAGGAGCCAAAATGGAGGTGATGAACATCTCACACACAAGTGTTTGGGGTTCTTTCCTTTTGGACTGTAAACTTGGGAGCAGAGCTGCATCTGGTGCTTCTAGAGGGCTCCGTCTTCTAGTGAGGGCTGGTACTTGTTCTGATGTTATCCGGCTTCATCCAGACGCTGCACACTCCCCATCTAAGGTGAGATGCTCACTAAGACGCTGCGGACATTTGGTCCCACATTTCACACACATCTATATCTCACTTGCTTGTGCACACGTTACCCCCAGGTGCCTGAGTGCCTGGGGCTCTCTCTAAGTTGACCACACGGAGGAATTGTATGGCCCTCCTGTTGGTGTAGCTGATTCTTCTCCTGGTCTCTGCTTTCTCCTCATGACATGTAATTTCCTCTTCCTTTGTTTTTACAGTCTAAGCTTCCTTCCCTGGTTTCATCTCAAGTCCCTAATTCAGCTTTTCATCACTGTGGTCTTTGCCTCCCTTCTGTCTTGTTTTTTTTTCTTCTTCTCTCTCCGCCCACCCCCCATGCCCCTCCACCCCAGGATGGAGCTGGTGGAAGGAGTGAGTGGAGGGCAGAGCCAGTGGGCTTCTGAGGCCTCATCCCAGTGCAGCTTTGACCTGTTTCATATTATAAGCTTTCATGGAAGATGTTGTTTGACAAAGAATTACACTGCCCAAAGGAAAAGTTTGCAAAGTTTTTGCATTAACTCAGCAGAGGTTTTGACAGGGTTCGAATTAATCGACCTTGTTGAGATGAAAGGAATCTCAGGAGAACCAGGGCCAGTGGCTTTGAGCCGCCGGGCTCTGGCTGTCCAGCGGCGTGGAGGCTCAGAGGCAGGTAGGACCGGCATGGCCACGACAGGTGAGGCTGAAGGACCTAGAATCTGTGTACAGTACAGAAACTGAGGCTGGCACTCACATTCAGAAGCAGTTGGAACAGTGACATTATGAGGGACAGTGACTCATGCCAGGGAAATGTCAAGAGACAGAAGCAGCTACAATGAGCCAGACTCTGGAAAAAACTATTGTTGGTTTTTCTGGCGGTTCCTATAGCCAGTAACTGCTTTCTCAGTGTGTGGATAGTTGGGGGCCGAAGGTCAAAGCTGTAGGCACAGAACCTCACATGGGGCAGGGGTGAGAGGAACACTCCTGCTATCACAGGGCCTGGGAAACGCCCGGAACTGGTCTAGTTCTGAGGTCAGTGTGTGATAGAAAGAGGCATTCCACTCACACTTGGAAGTACGACCAGGGATACGCTTACCACTGACTGTTCAGAGATGTTAAAGAAGGGATGGCATTGTTCCTAGTGATTGCTGCCACAGCTTCCTGCATTTCTGCATACTTGCAGCATTTGTGGTACTGGTTGATTCAACTTTATAAGAAACTTGACCCCTGGGAAGGGCCTTCAAGAGTATATTGTTAAGTGGTTCTGAACTTCTTCTGGATCATGGACCCCTCTGGGAATCTTACTGAAGCCAAACCCCTCTCACAACCCTCCAAAACATGTTTACGCCAGAGATCTTGCATACTTGGTCTGACAATTAACTTCGCAAACTCACCCTAGAAAGAGTGCTACATACCTCATTGCTAATATCACTGCGGTCACCTTTGAAGTACTCCCCTTGGGAAGCTATGCACCAACGCCAGCATCTAGTCCACCTTGAAAGCAATTTTGGAATTCTTTCTGGAATGGCCATCAGAACTGTCATCTTATTACCCTTGATGTCCTGAATGTCACCAAAATGTCTTCCTTTCAATATTTCCTTTTTCTTTGGGTAAAGAAAGAAGTCACTGGGGGTCAGATCAGGTGAATAGGGAGGGTGTTCCAATACAATTATTTGTTTACTGGCTAAAAACTCCCTCTCAGACAGTGCTGTGTGAACTGGTGCATTGTCGTGATGCAAGAACCATGAATTGTTGGTGAAAAATTCAGGTCCTTTTTATCTAACTTTTTCACACAGCCTTTTCAACACTTCCAAATAATAAAGTTGGTTAAGTGTTCGTCCAGTTTTTACAAATTCATAATGAATAATCCCTCTGATATCAAAAAAGTTTAGCAACATCATTTTGACTCTTGATTTGGACTAAGGGAACTTTTTGGTCATGGAGAATTGGCTGACTTCTATTGTGAACTTTGACGCTTTGTTTCAGGGTCATATTGGTACACTCGTGTTTCATGACTAGTGATAACACAGCCCAAAACATCGTCTTGCCTCTCAAAAAGATCTTGGCAAACTTCGACTCTCCTTTGCTTTTTTTCATTGGTGAGCTCCTTTGGGACAATTTTTGCACACACTTTTCTCATGCCAAGATTTTCAGTTAAGATTTTCCTGTTTCTCTATCAATGTTTATAGTTGTTCTGCTATGCTTCTCACAGTCAGCTGATGATTTTGACATACAATTCAACAAATTTTTGCAATATTTTCATCAGTTCTGCTCATTATTGACCACCCTGACCGCTCTTCATCAGTGTCGCGTTCTCTCTCCTCAGAAAAACATTTAATCCATTTGTACACTGCTGTTTTCTGCATGGCTTAACTTGGACTAATGTCCCTGATTTCACTTCCACTCTTGCCAAGTTTAGCAAGAAATTTAATGTTTGTTCTTTGCTCTAATTCAAGCTCAGGCCTTCTCATGATGGCACACAAAGACATGCAACAACAATAGTGAACGCCACTCAGCAAGACACCGCCACACATCGACACAAACACAGCTGTGAGACATTCATATACCAACGTTATGAAACCTTTCCAGGCTGTTTGTACAGTGCTGCCAATGTAAGCACACGGTGGCAAGTTTGCAAACTTAATTGTCAGACCTCGTATACTTACATGAGATTATGATTAGTCCTGAATCTCATTCTCAGAATCCTTTTCAGGTTAAGAACTTCTGATTTAGTTTAGTTTTCTCATTTATAATCTTCTTGTGCCTCAGTTCCTCATCTGCAATATGGGGATAAGAATAGTACCTACCTTGTGGGGAATGCAGTGCAGACGAAATGACAAAAATGTGAAGAGTTTAGAACCAGTATCTTCATAAATCTGGGCTCTTACTTTTATCACCATTATCAGGTTATCTATATTCTTTTAAAAGTGGAGATGCAAGTTGATTTATTCACCTGTACCTCTAGCTTAAGTTCAAGTTTGAACCACAAGGACAAAGAACTGCCCCACCTAGTGGTGTTTTGGTGAATAAAGTAGAATGTGTGGCATTGAAATGTGATCAGAACATACGGTGAGTGCTCCTGCTGAGTGTCATCCACTGGAAAGGCAGGGATCTTCAATATGGGAAGCAGTGTCGAACATTAGTAACAGTGTGTGAGAACTTTCAACTTGTTCGGTGCAGTCAGTCAGGTGTGAGTTACAGTGGAGAGAAGGTATGTTTTAAAGTGTGATGTAAATTATCTTCCATCATGACAATGCTCCGTGCCATACATTGCTTCTGGTATGGCAATTTCTGTAAAAAAAAAAAAAAAGACATTATGGTGTGTCCTCATCCACCTTATTCAGTGGGTCTGGCACCATGCAACACCTGGCTCTTCCCCAAAGTAAAAATGACCATGAAAGGTAAACGTTTTGAATCAATTCAGGACATTGGGTCAACCACAACAGCGTAACTAAAGACACTCAGGAAAGAGGACTTCCAGAACTGCTTCAGAAAGTGGCGAGAATGATGGGATAAGTGTGTTCAAAGCAAGGGGGGAGGTATTTTGAGGGGGATAATGGCAATGTGTCTTTTACTATAATAAATTTTTAAAATTGAAACATTCACTGTATTTTTTTAATCACACCTTGTATGTGGTGACCACACCAATGTCTTTGCCTAAGTGGTTATTTTCTGGGAATTGGTGGCTCCTTTTTTATGTCTCTTTCCAAAGAGAGTATATCAGTTAGCTTTTGCTGTATAACAACCCATCCTAAAATGTTGCAGCTTAAAACACGTCACTTATTCACCTTTGACTCAATGGGTTGGCAGCCTGGACTTAGTTCAGCTGGGTGGTTCTCCTGCTGGTTTCTTTGGAGTTCACTCTTGTGGCTGCAGTCAGATAGGGAGTTTCCGGGGGCTGGATGGTCTAGGATGCCCTCACTCCCATGTTGGGCAGCTGGTAGGCTGGGTGCCTTGTTCTCCTTCATGTGACTTCTCCAACAGGCTAACTTGGACTCATATTGGGACCACAGTGGTTGCAGGGTTGCCAGGAAAAGCAAGCGGGGGCAGGCAAGCCCTGGTGGTCAACCACTTTCCAAGCCTTTCCTTGTGTCATGTTTGCTGATGTCTTATTGGCCAAAGCAAGTCACATGGCCAAGCTTTGATTCAGGAAATGTGGAATCACTCCATCTACCGATGGGCAGAAATGCCTAATGTGTGGCTGTCTTTTCAATATTCTATACATGTTTGCTGGTGAGCGGCTGGGCGTTAAATTTCTGTTGTCAGTTCAAAACTTAAGGTTTTGACCTTAAGAGATATTTTCACTTCTCAAAAGAAGAGAAGTAGTAATTAGAGACCATAACCTCTAGACTAGCCCACCAGTCTAGCTATGGAAGCGCTTTCCATTCTGTGGGACATAAACATGTCATAGTTCATTGTGGGGCTCTCTTCCTTGCCCTTTGGTGCTCCCCATCACCCTATTCTGGTTTCCTATATCTTCAGGGATCTCCTAACTGTTGTGGGCTAGCCTGGGAACTGCATTGTTCTCTGGGGAACTTGCTGTCTTGAATGGATGGGACATGCACAAACCACCCCTTGGTCCTTCACTCAGGTTTACCATTGTGATCTAGGGAGATCTCTCTGTTCCTTTGGCCCATGGAAGTGCTCAATTGCAGGTTGGGCTCACATCTGACTTGTTCAGCACTGAATCCCTTCCTTAGAACAGTGCCTGGCACGTGGTCAACACTCAGTAAACATTTGTCCCATGAATGGATATCCATGGCAGATCCCAAGCCCTGCCTGAGTTTACACCACTTGTGGGGACCCCAGTGCTATTTCAGGCTGCATGCTGCCAGCCAGTTCTTCTGTACTCAATGCAATTCTCTAGTTTGTTGGTCAGCCACTTACACCTTCCACAGGGCCCGAGACCCCCAGGACCAGCTGCCCTCTGTCCTCCAGTGGACATCTGCCCTTAACTGTGGAATAGGACCTTGTGCCGGTGACTCATGGTGATAGATGATGACTGGTTTCACCATGGTGTGTGAGAATATGGGCATTGGACTTTAAATCAGTGTGTGTATGTGTGTGTGTGTGTGTGTGTGTGTGTGTGTGTGTGTGTGCACGCGCATATGTGTGGTCAGGTTGGTCTGTGTGTGTGTGCATGTGGTCAGGTTGGGCTGGGAGTGCACATATGTGTGGGGGTAGATAGGCTCTTACTGCACAAAGCCACAATCTTTGAGGGGCTCAATTCCCTTTCATAGACATGGAATATTTATTTACTTATTTTGGCAAATTTCCAGCAGAGGACAGTCAAGGGTCTCATTCTATCAAAGGTTGGTCTGTTAGGATAACTGGCAGGTCTATTGTGATGACAAGGTGACTCGTTCTGATTGGTACGAAGGTGTCGCGTGCGCTGGCCATGGAGTTGTGCTTACCTTTGTTGCTCTTCATGTAGAAGTGCATGAGAATGCACTTCTCCTCAAGAAAATGGTCCTATATCCACCTGTGTAGACCTGTGTGCCCCCTGTGAGTGGCTCTGTGTCCACCAGAGGTCCAAATAGCCTTCCATGGGTGGCCAAGTGTCCCCTGCAGATGGCTGAGTGTCCCCTGTGGAAGGCTGAGTGTCTCCTGTGCCCTGTGGATGGCTGAGTGTCACCTGCAGATGGCTGAGTATCCCCTGCGAATGGCTGAGTGTCCCCTGTGGATGGCTGAGTGTCCCCAGTAGAAGGCTGAGTGTCCCCTATAGAAGGCTGAGTGTGCCCTGTGGATGGCTGAGTATCCCCCCTGGATGGCCAAGTGCCCAGCTGTGGGTGGCTTAGTATCAGGCAATACAGGGCTGAGTGGGAAGCCCATTGTTTTCCTGTGGATGGATGGTCACATGTCACATTGGATGACTGTCTCCTGGGATTATTGGTTCTCCTCTCTGCTCCCCACCCCATGCGCCCCACAGGCCTGGAGGTTACCAGTAGGTCTGGAGGCTGAGTGGGGCCTGACCTCAGCTCCCCCAGTCTCTGCTGCCTCAGTATGACACCATGCATACAGAGCCCATAGGGTGTGTGTGACCGGGAATTAGGGTCAGGCTGGGCGGCACCAGAGGGACCCAGGTGGTTGTAGGGATGACTTCCCTTCTTGCCCCTGCCAGGCTGAGGCCCCGGAAGGAGCAGGGCACGTACGCGCTGTCCCTGATCTACGGAAAAACTGTGTACCACTACCTCATCAGCCAGGACAAGGCAGGCAAATACTGCATACCTGAGGGGACCAAGTTTGACACCCTGTGGCAGGTGAGCTGCCCACCCACCCTGTAGTGGGGGAGACACTGTGGCGGGGTGCTCAGGCTCCTGGGGAGCAGGGAAGCCCTGCCCTGACACCCTCCTTGCAGCTGGTGGAGTACCTGAAGCTTAAGGCCGATGGGCTCATCTACTGTCTGAAGGAGGCCTGCCCCAACACCAGCGCCAGTGCAGGTGAGTGTGGCAGCAGGGTGGAGGCGGTCAGAGGACATGTCCCTCACCCCTCACCACCCTTTCACCCTTTCTGCTCCCCTAGGGGTCGCCGCTCCCACACTCCCAGCCCACCCATCCACGTTCACCCACGTGAGTCAGTGGCACTCCAAGGTTGGGGCCTCAGGGATGGAGTTGGTGGGGCCATGGGTCCTGTTTCTAGGGTGAGGCTGGGGTGGAGAGTGGGGCTGCCATGGAACAGAAGAGGCTCCCCTGCCTGCACTGTCCCTGGGAGCTGTCAGAGGATATGGGTCTCATGAGAGTGGCTGGTGCCCCCAGCTCGGGCCCTGCTGACCCTTGCTGACCCCATGACCTTTAGCCTCAGAGACGGATCGACACCCTCAACTCAGATGGATACACCCCTGAACCAGGTGAGCTGGCATAGGTGGAGGTGTATGATGAGGTTTGTGCCAGGCTGAGGGCAGGGTCCGTGCTGGCTTTGAGTGTGCTGGGGAATGGACATGGGCCTGGCCTAGCCTGTGGCAGTCCGCTTGGTTGGCTCTGTGTATATACTGTGCTTACAGAATCCTGCGCGGAGGCACACGCATCATACCCACATGTGTGCACGTACACGGGTGCATGCTGACACGCAGGGGAGGACACTTGGCCATAGCTGGGCCACCAGGCACAGACACACATTTGTTAAGTACCTACTATATGCCAGTTATGCTCCAAGCTCACAGGCATATGAGCTTGTTGTATTCTCCCGAAATGCCATAGGAGGTAGCCATGGTAATCATCCTCATTTTACAGATGAGAAAGGAGGGCAATAACTTCCTAAGTCACACAGCTAGGCAGCGGTGGGACAGGATTGGAACCCAGGCAAATGGGCTCCAGAGCCCACGTCCCTAAAATGCCCTGCTGCCAATGGTCCTGTGTTTGCCATGTGGCACTAGCCTGCCCACGTGTGGCTCAGAGAACACACATGGCTGTGTGTGTACGAGAGGCTCACCTTTGGAGCCCTTGAAACATGGCTGCGTGGTGCCTGCGTAGACGCGGGCAGGCACGGACATAAGTGCACACACATCGGTGCACACAGGCACAGATGTGCATGTTCCAACTGGCACGCTAATGCTCACTTGTGCTGACACAAACGCAGATATGGGTGGGAATGTACATGGGTGCATACATGTGGACACAGGCACCGCCTTTAGTCCACTAGGACATGGCTTCCCAGAGATGGGACCAGAAGTGCGCACACACACACACACACACACACACACACACACACACACACACACACACTTGTACGCCTGTGCATGTGCACGCTTTGGGTGGTATAGCCCTGTCTGGGTCACATGCCTTGTGGATGCCAAGGCTGCCCTCTCCTCCCCATCCCTCTGTCCTTCGCCCCCCCCTGACCTGGGAGTGCACACCTGTGTGTGTACCCTATTCAGTGTGCCTAACTTCCCCAGAGAAAGCGCGGCCAATGCCCATGGACACAAGTGTGTATGAGAGTCCCTATAGTGACCCTGAGGAGCTCAAGGATAAGAAGCTCTTCCTGAAGCGTGAGAACCTCCTCATGGCTGACATTGAACTTGGCTGCGGCAACTTTGGCTCAGTGCGCCAGGGTGTCTACCGTATGCGCAAGTATGGCTGCCCCTGTGCGGTGGGGGGACCGCTGGGGGCGCAGAGATGGGGTGGGGGCCAGAATGTGACATGAGTTTGCCTGGGAAACAGACCCTGGGACAGGAACTTGCTAGAGAATTTCCTGGGAGCGTACATGTGGGGACAGCCCCTGAGAAGGAATGAGAGAAACAGCCTGGGACAGGGGAGGCTGGCTGGACTGTGGTGGTAACAGAAGCCTCAGCCAACCCCAGGGAGTTGCAGAGGGACCCCCTGAACCCCCGCATCGAGTGGTCATTGGGTAAAGGCTGCTTCCGGGAAGGGTGTAACTTTGAATGAAGATGCTCTTTTCAGCGAGGGTCCCGGGGAGGGAGTTGGCTGAGTGCTGCTCCAGCTGAAGACAATGCTGACTGCTGGGGCCTGTGTGCCTGGGCCCTGGAGGGAGACCGGGTGTGAGGGTGCAAGCCACAGTGTCCACAGCACACGTGCTGGGAGGAGGGGCAGGTTGGGGGCTATTTGGGGGCGGGGCAGGGCCCGTGCTGGCTCACGGGTGCACTCCCTGCATGGTGTGCATTGCGGCAGGAAGCAGATTGACGTAGCCATCAAGGTGCTGAAACATGGCACGGAGAAGGCAGATAAGGACGAGATGATGCGCGAGGCGCAGATCATGCACCAGCTGGACAACCCCTACATCGTGCGGCTCATCGGTGTGTGCAAGGCCGAGGCCCTCATGCTCGTCATGGAGATGGCGGGCGGTGGGCCCCTGCACAAGTTCCTCCTTGGGAAGAGGTGAGCAGCTCCCAGCACATCCACGCGGGGGTTTCTATGTTCACAGACACACTCACCTACCCCTGCACACACCTTGACAGTAACTGCCACATACTGGTGTGACCCCAGCAGCTCTCAGTTCATCTGGCCTCAGTTTCCTCATTTGTCCCACAGTGGTGGTCACAGTGCTTACCTCAGGAGCCCTGTGAGGATCAGATGAGGGGAAACTTATAAAGCGCTTAGAACAGCAGCTGGCAGCTAAGTATGCTTGTCAGCTAAGTATGGCTCTAAGTATTATCATCATTGCCACCCCACTCTCTGCCACATTCACGACCTGTGTGAAATTAAGTCGACTGTCTAAAGCAGGGTCAGCTAACTACAGCTAAGGCTTGTTTTATCCTGCATGGTTTTGCATTTTTAAAGGGCTATAAACGGAAAAAAGGCACACACAGGGATATGTGTCAGAGCCAACATGCAGTTTGCAAAGGCTAAAGTATTTTTTATCTGTCCCTTTACAGAAAAAAATTTGCCGACCTCTGATCTAAAGAAATTGCTATTTCATTTGTGTTCCCTCTTGCTTCAAGCTCTTATCCTCACAGACACGACCTTTTCCATTCCCTGAGGCCTGTGCCACCTGCCCACACTCACTGGTGCACACACCTTCAAGGTGGGCCTGGCTCATGCATTTGGTCATTCCACAGGTGTTCAGTGGGCAATTTCCCTGTGACAGTAATTATTTGGAATTCATCAGCGAATAAAAGAGCCAAAGGTTTCTGCCTGAATTCTGGTTGGGGGAAGAGAGGCTTTAAATAATAATTATAATACAGTAAGGTATGGAGTATATTGGAAGATAAATACCATGGAAAAGGAGTTGTGAGTGTCAGGGTGGGAGGTGAGAAGAGAGAAGGTGAGGTTTGTGCAAACAGGGAGGCAGCCAAGCACAGCTCTGGGGGCAGAGCATTTCAGGCAGAGGGCACAGCCAGTACGAAGTCCCTGAAGTGCGCCTGTGCCTGCTGTGGTGGGGGAACAGTGCATGGGGACTTATTGCTGGAGCTGATGCTGATGGGGAGGTGACAGGCAGATCATGCAGGGCCTGGTGGGCACAGGAACTTGGATTTGACCCTGAGTGAAGTGGGAGCCCTGTGAGGCTGTGAGCAGAGGAGGGGCAGGACCTGACCATGTGGGGAGGACAGACTATATGTGTGTGTGTTTGGGGGCGCGGATGGGAGGGTGAGGGCAGAGGTGACTGTTCTGGTCCAGGCCAGCAATGACGACGGGAGTTGGACCAGGATGGCAGAAGCTGGAGTGGGAGAAGTGGAGGAGGGTTCTGGAGGGATTCTGAAGGCAGGGCTGCTAGGTGTGCTTATGGTTTGGATGCTGGGTGTGAGAAAGAGGAGCCGAGGGCAAGGCCAGGACTTCTAGCCTGAGTAGGCAGAGGATGGAGGTGGACAAGAGAAGGGGTGGGGAGAGGGAGGAGCTGGCAGGCTGTGTGTGTGTGTGTGTGTGTGTGTGTG